CCTTCTAACCGCCCCCCCCAAAACCTTCTAACCCCCCTGCTGTGCACCCACCGGCTGGTAATCAAAGGCGTAGCCATCTGCAGCCAGCCCAGGTGAGGGTAGGAGTGGGTCGGCCAGGGAGGGCTGGGAGATCCGGGGATTGGAAACGCTCCCCAAAACGCCGGCTTTCAGATTAAACCCTTTGTTGGCGGCACCTGAAAAGGCAGAGAGTTGTTGTTGGGGGGAAAGAAATCCACCCAAAATCGCCCGTTCCATCCCAGAGACGGGGGGGGGATTTTCCTTCTCCGTTCCCCAAGCAGGATGGGGGAAAAGGGGAGCGGAGGACGCTCACCTCCCAGGCTGTTTGCTGGCAAGAGGCTGTGCAGGTTCAGGTAGGGGTTGAGAGGAATCTTGAAATCTTTGGGGGGCTCCCCCAGGAGCGAGACCTGTGGGAAAAGCACTTGGAGGGCTCAGGGGGGAGCTCCAGCACAGAAACCAGCCCCCAAAACCATGTTGGGAGGGTTGTTTGGTGTCAGCACGGAGCCCCCCGAGGTGGAACGGGCTCATTCCGGAGTGAGGGGACCTTACCCCGGAGGCGGGAGGTCCATTCTCGCTCTGCTTTGGTTTCTGGAGACCGCTGATGACGGATCCCAAAATGGAGGTGGTGAGACCCTGAAGAGCTGGGGGGGTGACGGCGGGAGGGGTGAGCTGAGGCACCTGCGTCCCCAACACTGCATTTTCCCGATCTACTCCCACCGGTCCCAGGAAAGAAGCCAAGGGTACGTTTCCAGAAGGCAAAATTGGTGATTTTACATGTCCCTGTGCCATGTCACCGGGCAAGGGGCCACCTGGGGAGACAGAAGGAGAGGGATGGCACTGGCATCCAGCCCTCCCACGCCCCCAGCTTGGTTTCAGCCCTTCTCCCCACTCCACGCAAGCTGCCTCGCCCCAGCATCTGTCTCCCACCAGAAAAACCCAACCCCAGCACCCTCCACTCCTCCCAACCTGCCCGGAGGTGGGGGGGCTCCTGTGTGGCTTCCCCTCCCCTAAAAAACAGAGCAGGGGGACATGCCCTGAGACTGGTGCTGCGCCTCGAAGCACGGCAAGCTCCGCAGGGGTCCCTTTTCCACCAGAAAGTGATGCCCCAGTTCGCGGTGTGCCGCAACGCCGGCTGTTACCTGAGGAGAGCTCTCCCAAGAGCTGGCTGGGGGGCTGCGCCGGCGCGTTGGCCAAACCCAGGGCACCGTGGTGGGGCAAGGAGCTCAGCGGCGAGTCACCCAGGATCCCCGGCTTCTGTGAAGGACAGCGGGAGGTTAATGCCGAGCGAAACCGGCCCATCCGTGGCAGATCTGTGGCTCTGGAGGCGGTGGAAACCCTGGCGCTAGTAGGACGGAGGGGAGCGGAGGCGGCGCGAGGGTCCCCGGGATCGTGGCCATCGGCTAAAAGCTCAGTGCAGGCACGGAGAGAAACACGCCGCAGGCACTGAGAGCAAGCTGGCTGCAATTTCACAGCTTCTTCAGCAGAGAATACCAGAAATAACATTGGGGAGACACTCCCCACTACGGTTCAGCACCCATTTTTGTTCAAACCGGTCCATTTACGCTGGAATGAAGGAGCCAACCCACCCGGCCCTGTGCAGAAATCGTTTGCTGAGCCAGTAAATTGACGAGGAGCCCAGGAGGGATGGGGGCTCCCTTTTTCTCACCCCACCTCAGCAAGCCCGAGCTCAGCATGGGGACCAGCTCAACAAACGTGGCACAGAGGCAGAGAGCCAATGAGCCAACTCGCCGGAGCCCCAGATGGGAGCCGCTCACGGAGGCCGAGCCCTCCAGGCTCCGAGTCAGAGCAACACCTCATTTCTCCCCACAAGGAGAGCAGCTCCAACATCCGGAGTCACTGGGGTGACTGGTGTCACTGCCAGACCCCTCGCTGCGGTCGTTGCCTGGTCTTAAGGACGGGAAGGAGGACGCAGGGAAGGCGCCGGGGGGGGTCCCGGCGCTACGGCTCGGCACCACCACACACACAGCACGTCACGGTGACGGCTGCCTCCTACCGCTCACATGGAAGAGGTTTTGGTTCTCCTTGTTCTGCAGCAGCCATGTCCAGACCTGGTTCTGCAGTAACAGGGAGTTCCCAAGCAATGCCTTCTGGGGCAGAAAGCATAGCGAAAAAGACCAGAAAAGACAGAAAAACACTCAAAAAGAGAAAAAACCCCAAGCTTGGGGTGGTTCGAGAGGCACGGGGAGAGCGAGAAGAGCGGCAGGGAGCTTTAATCCTCAATTTGCTCCTCTCTCTTTACTCCTTGAGCGGCAACGAGAATTTTGGGAGACGTGGAGGTGCATGAGCTGGAGCAGAGGTATGAGGCAAGGCAGCCACCCAAAATGGCAGCGGCACGAGCCCACCGTCGGGTTTGGGAGACCCCTGCCCATCCGTGGCAGCCCCAGCAGGACCCTGATCTAACAGCAGATTTGTTTCTCGCGGAAAAGAGGCTAGCAGGAGCGCAAGGGTTCCGGCACAACGGCGGCATCGGTGTCCGCAGCGCAAAGGGAAGGTGGCGTCGGTGAAATTCCTGCGTACCTGCTGCACTTGGGTTTGGTTCTGCAGCGCGAGTTGGAGGAGAGCCGTGGAGAGGGCCGGGTTGGTCACCAGCGGCACGGAGGGAGCGGCGCCGAGGATTCCTGGAAGGAAGAGAAGCCGAAGGAATCGCCTGCCGCAGGGAGGACAAACCCCACCCTGTCCCGGCCTCTCCTCTGCGTTCAGCCTTACCTTGTTTTCCTCCGACCGCCCCGTGGAGCAGGGGGTTGAGCAACAGCTGGAGGGAAGCAGGATTTCCCAGGCTGTTGAGAATTTGGAGGATATTCGGCTCGGGGAGGAGCCCTTTCCCACGATTTAATGCCTTAATAAAACCAAAAAACAGCCACGTTAAAAGTGAGATAACCGGCTTTGAGACTTCCCCCATGACGGGCCACCCTGAATTTGCCCTTACGCTCCCCAAACCAGCAAGATCCTGGTTCCCAGCAAGATCCCGGTTCCCAAAAGCCTTGTTGTAGGGCAGGGAAGAAACAACCGACCCATCTCTACAGCCGACGAAAGCCAAGGCACAGTGGCAGCCGCACAGTTTGCCATTGCTGTCGGCAGCTACACCGTCTGCTATCCTACCGGTGCGGCACCTGCCCGGCAAAACTCTCCACGCCGAGCAGCCGCTGGATTTTGGCGACAAGCAGCGTTCCTGCTCCGAATTTTGCAGCCGCGCACAGGAACAAGGGAGCAACGGGGGAATCTGTGCCGTGTGACCGGAGCCTGGGAGCACCGGCATGCCCGAAATGCCCAGAAGCAGGAGCTACAGGCAACAGACGGCTGCTCCATAGGGGATCCAATGGGAAATGTGTTGGCTGCTCCAAGACAGCCTGCTCCAGGCTGGATACCCAACCTTGGGAACACTGGCAGCACCTGTCACAGTGATGGCAAGCTGCAAGGGGAAGAGGAGGAGGAGGAAGCAGCGCGCACACAAGCCTCACCGTCGCCTGCGCGGCTATCAGGGCGGCCAACATGCTACGGCCGGGAGGGCCAGGAGCACAGAAGGAGACTCGGACATGATTCCCAGCGAGCGGCAAACCATCTGTAGCCTGCTGAACCATCTCTGCCATCTCCGCCGACTCATACTCCAGGACCGCGAAGCCTTTCAGCTGCCCGTCCTGACCGTAGGCCAGCTAGGAGAAGAGAGGGATGCCAAAAAAACGGTGAGCGCAATGGGAGCACTAGCGAGAGCTGGCAGATCCTCAGGAGCCAATACGAGGTTGCTGCACCCCAGGGGTGCCGCTTTCTTCGGGCCAGCAACCTCCCCATGAGCTCAAAGAATGCTGCACCCCAGGAAAAGCGTTCCCAGTGCCCCCCAAAATCTCCCCCCCCTCACCTGGCAAAAAGCCGGGGCACAGGCGGCAGAGAAGACCTGTCGCAGCTCCTCGAGGTCGGCGTAGTTGTGGGGCAGCTTGTCAACACACAAGCACTTGGAATGGAGAAGGTCTAACGTCAACTGGTTGACGTCCGTCCAGTGGACGTAGAGAGTCCGCGTGCCCAGCTGTTTCCCCAGCAGATCCGACTTGGCTCTGGCCGCCGAATCCTTTTTCATATATTCCACAAATCCATAACCTTTGGAGTGTCCCGTTTTCTCGCTGTAGACCAGGAAACACCTTTCCAGGTTGCCGAAAGGTCGGACCAGCTCCTCAAATTGTTGCTGGGTGTAGAGCTGGGGAAGGTTGGCGATACACAGGAGGGCATCTGTGGGCTGCAGCTGCACCGAAATCTCCTTCTCCCGGAGCTTGCTCAGGTGGAATTTTTTGATGGCTGATTCTGCCTGCTCCCCGTTGAGCAAGGTGACAAACGCTGTGGGAGCAGAGCCGGGAAGGAAGGGTGAGGCTATGCGGCGCCTGTTTCACACCAAAACGCGAAGCCGCGGCGCAGGGCAGGGGTGCTGGTGAGGCGCAGGGTTAAATCCTGAGCGCTCGGGGGTAAAATTCACACACCCCTGGCTGCCGTTAGTGCCCGAAGCCCCGATGAGGTGAGGAGTCGGAGGGAAGGTCTCGGCAAGCGCCGGCTGGTGAAATCACACCATCCTTGGTGAAGCCTCGTGCGAGATGGCTCCGTCCCTGAGTTCTGGGGAGACGCCGGGGACAGGGACAGCGCCACTGGGTCCCAGCCACCCTCACCAATCCCCCTGGCCAGAGGAGCACCCTCACGCAGCTCCCACAAATTTCTCCATCACCAAGAACCGGTTGTTTTTTGGGGGGGGGCTGGGGGGGAGATAATGCCAGCAGGCGCAGCCCCCCAGGAGGAGCTGGACTGATTCTAAACCCCGGTGCCGTTAATTTTCTGCCTGCTGGTAGCTAATTGCCACATAAAAAAATAGTCTGGTGAGCGCAGCCGAGACCGGTTGGAGAAGCGGGGGGGGGAGGACAGGTGGAGAATCAATGCAGAACAAGGCGTCGGGGACGGACCAGCCGGCAGCGGAAAAGCACCAGAAAGGAGGAGGGGGGGACCCAAGGCCAGCCATGGTGATGGATTCGGCATCAGAGATGCCGGCGCTGCAAGAGCAGCTTACTCACCAGTCCCTTTGTATTTGTCCACAAAGCAGTATTTCAGCTCGTAGTCGCTCAGCAGATCGTGGACTTCCTGGATAAACAGCGGGATTTTCAATAAGAATAATAATTTTTAAGAAAAAAAAATAAAAACGGGAGTCAGGTTTTAGGGAAAAACGCTGGCTTCTCCCCTAATTCCTACCCCATGCGGCACCCCCAAATATTTCCCCTCTCCTCGAGCTCAGAGAAGGAAGCAGAAAGGGAAGAGGCTCAATTCAAAAGTGAAGACGCCGGGGACCAGGCACTAAAACCGCCCCTTTGGCCCCGCTGCTGTCCGCCCCCAATTTGACACACCCCCCCCAGCGTGTTTTACCCCTTAAGGTCACGCTGGGGGACATCAGTGCGTTGCCGCTGGTTCAAGACTTTGCCCTCCCCGAAATGATTTTCCAGACCTTCGGCCTCCCCGACACACCCCCCCGGGCGATAATTAACTTGGATTTACTGGGAAGGGGAAAGGGAAATTAAAAAACGAAACAAACAAACAAAAAAAAAGAAAACAAAACCGAAAAAAGACCCCCCAAAAAAAGAGCGGGGGGAGGGGGGCTGCAGTGGCTGGGGGGGTCCTTTGAGGAGGGGGGAGTAGTTGGGGTTTGTTAAATGGCACCGGCTTTTCCTCAGAGCTGGGTTTGAGGGGTGATGGGGGGGTGTGTGACCCCCCAGGAGCTCTTAAATTGATAAGGCAGAAA